TCTAAAATGAGAGCATATCAGAGCTGTGATGTCACTGCTGTGCAGACAATGCTCTTTGCTCAGCTAAGCGCCGTATGCATCACCTACCTTGGGAATGTGTCTGAATTACATGAGCCAGATACAGAACAATTAGGAGGTAAAGATAGACACGAGATTTTTACAGGTGAAACCTGAAAACAGAAGTTGAAGTGGTAAGGTGGAGAGAAGCAGATAGACAGACAGACAAACATACAGATAAAATGTTGAATATTAGCTCATGTGGAGTGCCAAGTCATGGTAGTTGCTGAAACAAAGAAGTGGCATTTTGGTGGCATAACAAAAAATATAACATAACAGAAGAAAAGGGTATATTGTCTGAGAGAGAGAGAAAAAGAGAGAGAAAGGGGGAGGAGGTAGAGAAAGATGGAGGAGGCAGGGCAGGATAGAAAGGAAGAAGTTAATCTGAACCTTGTTAATTTAGAAGACCCTGAGGAAAAAGTTTTGTTGAAAGTTGAATTTTTGTTTGTTTTAATTTGTGTGTGTAAATGTGTATGTGTTTGTGTGTGAGAGAGAGAGGTGTATGATGTGTATGTGTGTGTATATATGTGTGTGTGAGTGTATGTATGTGTGTCCATGTGTGTGCATGTTTGTGGTGTATGGTTGGGAGAGTAGCGAAAAATATAATTTTAGTGAACACAGGGCTTGCATAATATTAGCTACAGGCCAGGCCAGCATCACTTAATTTAGCCCCCATAAGATGACTTGACCTAGAAACCGTTGTTACCACATTTACAGACAAGAAAACATAGATGAGCCCAGAATCAAACACAGTGACTTAGTCTGGAAAAGTTTGTTGAAATAATAACCCATCTGTCCACCCAAGGCTAGGTATCTGGTAATACATCCAGAAAAGTAAAAGCAAGAAGGAGCACAGGCCTGGACGTCTCAGCACCCAAGAGGCAAAGGCAAGAGGACTACAGGGTCAAAGCCAAACTGGGTTGTAAGTGAGACCATACCTCCAAGAAACAAGCAGGTTAATGATGTCAAACTAAAGGAGGAGTTTTATACTAATTTCGGTAAAATCAGCTCCATGAAAATAGTAAAAGGGCCTCACAGGGACGGTGTAAACACCTGCTTTGGCTAGGTAGCATTAGGAAAGCATTAATCCAGCCATCTCTTCTAGTCCTGTAGAAACTGATACCTGCTTTAACTAAAGGAGGACACAGGTTCCCTCCTCCTGTCTATCACCTGGACTATACCATGCTGTCTTTATAACTACAGCCATCAAAACTCCCTAGAAAGAAGCCTAGAGAATCACATATCCTCAGGAGATACTTGCTGAATGACTGAATCAGAACAGGACTTTCTGTTTCTCCCTTACTATTCTTTCTCTTGGCCATTCTCATTTATTATGATTTCATGGAGAACAGGGGGCACCATCATCTCGCAAGCTGGATTTGACTAAGTGCCCTGTGAGAAGGGGATGTGAGCAAATAGGCTCATGTATATTTATGCAGGGAACAGGACATATGAATTATTTGGCACGGTGCATGGCACCTAAAGAGTCTGTGTATTAAAGAGCACACACATGTGTGACACTTAAATAGTCTGTGTATTATAGAGCACTGTCCTCTGGACATGAGGGCCCTTGCATTTATGAACTTACAGTGCTGTGACGACCTGCACATAATTGATCCTGTCAACACCCTCTCATGGACTGGAGAGGGGCTCACAAGGCCCTAGTCCTCCCTGAGGAGCTACTGGCAGTACAGTTGCCGTGGAGGCCAGGAGCCACTTTCTGCAATGATGTAGCCACTGCTAAGATGCCAAAAGACTTGTAAGCATCCCCTTACCCAAGCTCATGTAGGCAACCTAAACTCACTGGGTTATTTTAAAAAAGGGGAGTTGGGGAAGGGATGGTTGGGAAGAGAGAGAATCAACAGAAATAGGAAGGTGACAAGCGGGTAAGAGGGTAAATACGACCAAAATAGTTGTTTATAGGTGTACATAAATGTCACAATAAAACCCATTCAGATATATAATTAATACATGCTACTAAAACCATCGGCACTATGGTTAATATGTGCACTAAAACCATAGTGCAGCCTGGCAGGCGTGTCAGGTAAGTTGCAGAGGGCAAGCTCTTGTGAAAACTGGACACTGAGCTGGCCCATCATACTGCCAGGCAGTACTGCTATCTGTCTTTATGTCGTCACTTCTCTACAGCTTTGGTAGTTGTTTTGTCCCCATTCATTTCATCATTTTCCAGATTTTCATTCATTTCCTACAAGTATATTCAGGATGTCCTCTATCACCAAACTTACAGGGGCTGTGTTTTACTCAGACTTATTCTCAGCCCTAGGCACACTGTGGTGGAATGACTGTGTCAGTTGTAGGAAAATAGTACGTAAGAAGGAACTGACGTGAATGAGACTCACAAAACAGAAATGAAAGATAACATAGCATAGCATTATGTATCTCAATATAGTATATATATTGTATATGTGTGTGTGTGTGTGTATATTACATATATATATACACACACACACACATTCACATGTGATATATACAAAACATGGATCAGTTCTATGTGCAAACACAGTTTGTTACTAAGATGATTTGAGGTGACTTTCATTTAACTTGGCTCCCTTAATTGTTGTTATTTCATCTCATGCCATTTCTCCTTAGGAAATGTGAAAATAGTAAGAAATTTAACTTTAAGTTGGAAAGGGGAGTGATGGAAAGCCTTGGAATTTCCTGAAGGGTTGAGGACGGTTCTGCGGGCTGGTTGGGAGGAACAGGGCATGCCATTCTCCTGGGTTAACCACAGGATGAAGACCATTGTTGTTCCTTCCTCATAATACACTTCATTGCTTCCTTAGCTCTCACTTTATCATCTGCCTGCCTTTATCATCCCCTTTCTTGCGTTTCTCCCTTGGATTTAGTATTTTTCCGTACACCCAAACTGACTAAACTCCAATGACTCTGTCTCTGAGTAACAGCCCTGGTGAATACAGGTCGCCTGTCACCCCACGGCTCTTTCCCCCTGAGTTAGAATACTTGATCAAATAGGTCCCAGGGAACTAAATCTAAGTTACATGCCTCCCTAAATGCCTAGAACTTTACATTGGGATGATTTCCTCAGTTCTTAGATATACTTTCAATACCAGGAAAGTTGTATTATGTTTAAACGTGCTAGCCCAACTCCTCACGTGCTCCTTTCGGAGTGAGACACGACAGAGTACCTGGGCCCCAAGTTTTCAATAAGCAAGTGGGTGACCCATCAAAACTTAACTCCCTCTGCTGCCTACCTCTGGGGCTATGAAACTGAGTCTACAAATTACACTATGAAGCCTACCTTTGCCATAGATGGTTACTCAATGGAAAGTTGTTAAAGTTGAGGGAGGAAACATAACCTGTGCTGGGCCAGAAATTTGTTCTTGCACACGAACACACACACACACACAATCAAACCCTATGGCATCCTCTCCACTGCAATTCCCATCTCATCAATTGTAAGGGCACAGATTTTGTCTGCAGTGAAAATAAACCACCTTAGGAAAAGATATAGTCCTATCCTATATGTCCCTAATCCTCCAACTTCATCTTTAATTCACTCAATTTCAATGGTATATAGTCAACGTTAAATTCAAGCATTCATTTTTCTTAACTGTTCAGAAACATTCACTATTTATTTCAGTCAAAAAACTCATACACTAAATATCTTGCCAATTCACAAGTCTGATGTTATACCTGATGAATGTTCAATGAAAGTTCTTTTTATGTGACCTAATAATTAAAGCCAAGAGACTTTCAAACTATACACTTAGAATCTATAGATTTTTATATTAGGATCTCTGACTCCAAAACGTCTACAAAATTTATTGTCACTGGGAGAACAGCTGGCAGAAACCAAAGCAATATTAAAATAGTCAACTTATTAGAAAGCAGGCGTAAGACGTTTTACACAGAAGTTATTGCAACGATGCTTGCGTTTTCCTGCCTGCCCACTATCATGTTCCTAGGACTGCAGTCAAATGGCAACACCAAGCATCTTAGGAGAAAACTGTAATGGCTCAATCACAGATGCTTTTCAATATTGATGCTGTAAAAGTCACTATTGGCTGTCACACTGATGGATACCTGGGAAGCTCAGTCAACACTTCAATGAGCAATAAAAGAAGGCATCAAGCATTAAGATGGCATAAAGCTGAATGTTTCCCTTTCACAGCACTAAAAATAAGTCACAATTAGAAGTGACCTTGATGGAGAAGGAAAACAACCACAACAAAAACCACACAGTGATTAAGGAGACAGAAGAGAACTTTCACCAATATTATACTGAACTCTGGCACTCAGCATTTTCTTGGGCTGGAAGAGAATTGAGTAGGTTCACTGAATTGACTGATTTCTTTGTTAATCTATTTGCATGGGTTAAGACCCCGACTGACATAAAACACAATCCCCCCCCCACTAAAAAAAAAAAAAAAAGCCAGACAGAGAGTGCAATGAAAGACTGACTGATGTATGCTTTGGGGTACAGCCTATCCAATAAATGTGCCTGGCCAGCAAAGAACCCATTGGAAAGATTTATTATCGGAACAAATAGATTCTAAAAAGACTGAATACAATCAGACCTGTAGAATAAACTCACACTTAAATACAATTCCTTGCCCTATGTAGCTTATTTCTTAATTTTACTTTTTTAGATTCTCTTCATGAATTTTCTTCTAATAATTAACAAGTAAAAATAATGATGCAGCATACCAGCTGTCATTACTGTAACCCTTTGACTCGCACAAAAGAAAGCAAAGTTTATATTACTTACAACTCTAGAATAACTGCTTATGTGTGTGTATAGATATGCAAAGGGAAGGAAGTATTACTACAAAATATATTATTAAGAGAAAAGTAAAAATTAATTACCTAGAATAAATTATCACATTTTAACTACATGTAATGCATGAATAACAAACTTGTACAGTCAAGCGGAAATATAGAAAGGAGTATAAAAGTTCTACCTCCAAGTTCTTTTACATTCAAGATGGCATTCTGGAATGGCACTGCCTTTATACTAAAACCTAAAATTAGAAAACAAAAAAAGAAGAATTAGCAACTCGTCTTGTACATTGAGACACTTAGCCAGTCAGATCCTTGGTTTGGGAAAAATTCAAGCTTGCTCTCCATAGTACGTATTTATACCAGAAACATATCCAAGATAAAATATTATCTTCTATAAAATATAATTTTATCATATTATCTTCTATGTCCTGAAACATCACTGAACATTATAGCCAAATATAATGCTTCAAAATATTATATTACCCTACTCTTTAGCATGTAATGGTTATGTAATTTTTTTATACATTAGAAGAAAGACACCTGAAAACACAGAAATTTCAAAGAAAATATTAAACATACTAGGTCTATGAATCCAATTCTTAATATATAACTTTTTTCTCATATATAGCCCAGAAATTAGCATTTAAAACACTTAAGTGAAAACACTTAAGTGAAAAGTCAAATCTTATATTTGACCTTCCTTGTATTTATGAGTATTTCATTTAATGACACAATTAATAATACACACCTATATTTTCTTTAAAATTCAATACTGACAATGTTCAGAGAATAGAGTTCTGAAGTTAACAATATACTTAGGGCTTAACTATGCAGAAGGCAACAGATGTAACTGGAACATAAAAGAATGTACACATGTGTAGGCGCACATTCATACAAGGACAAACGCTGGCTATTTCTGAAGGAAGGCACAAGAAACTGAACTAGCAACGACTTGGGAGAGAACACAGGACCTAGAAACCTATAATAGGTTCTTTTGTTTCAATCGCGTATCTTTGCCATGTACTTGTTTTCTTTTCTTTCTTTCTCTCTCTTTTTTTTTTAATTAAAGTCCCTAATAATTTTTTTAAAGCTAATTTTTCAGTAGTTTCAGGGTATGGTTTTAACATGTGCAATTACAGTGGAACGGTCATTTTTCAACAAAAGTTTCAATAAAGAAGAAAAACATACAAATGCTTTTCACTTGGGATGTTATGATTGGTGGCAGAAAAGGGAAAAGCTCTAATGAGCACTTTGAGGGTAAGAATTGCATGATGTTGCTTTGCCTCAGAAAAAAAGATGTGTCTTTTTAGCCCAGCCTATCTTTTGCATGCCTTCTCTCCATGTTCTCCCAGCATGTTCATCAGCTAGCCCTTACACTCCACTTTTAAGGCAGCATCTGGTAACAGCTGAAGAACTGACTTTGGAATTAGACAGAACTAGACTCACATTGCAGCTCTTTCACCATGGGCAGCCTACTAGTCTTAGCTTTCTTGTTTGTCCAACAGGAATGACAGAATCTACTTCACAGCCTTGTCATAGGATGACATGATGTAGGTACTGGGTCTATTACAGGCTAATGGTGGAGAAAGTCACTGGGTCTTCATAAAACAGGAGAGAGGGAGAAAAAGGGAGGGGAAGAGAGAGAGGAAGAGAGGGAAGAAGGAAGGGAGGGAGAGAGAGATCAATCCCCTGTGCTGAAATGTTGGTGCATACCTGGGCCTGAAGCAAAGCCTCTCCAGGTGTCTGGCCTCTGGGAAATCAGGACAGTCAGTGCCAATCACAATACTCCTACAGGCACCAAAATTCCCCTTCAGGAGATCTGGATGCTTGAATATATCTACCTATCTCACATGGATATTCTATGGATTAAACAGCAATGATTGTGAAATCCTGGAAACAAAAGGCCTCTGCAGATGCTAAACAGTCTATTAGTGGTTATGTTCATGACAACTCTCAAGAATGGATTTTCCAGAGAAGCAGGGCAGGTCCCAACTTTGAAAAGGAAAGTTATGGATCACAACAGTGATGTTTAATTGGATTTGATTTTAAAAGCTAACAGCAGGCAGAGACTCAAAGGAGAAGTAATACCCTTCCAGAAATGGCCACAGCCATATACAAACTACAACTTTAGAAATGTATTAATCCAATAGTGACTGTCAGTATCTTTGACTCTCTGCAGAACCTTCCATAATAAACTAGCTACAAAAACGTCAACCATTTGAGTTACTAAAGTAACCAAGGATTATTATTCATAGGCATATAAATATTTCTGCAAAATACTCATGTTTTCTCCCCAAAATGGACATGTGTACCTAGGTTTATACTGCAAATGTATTCATGGTCTACCATACCATGGTCTCTGTTATCATTCTTATAGTTCAGCTATGGTAATACCTGCTCCGAATACAGTCTAGGTAATCGATGTAAAAAACCAAAACAAAATGAACTTTTCATGGAAGAGAAACAATGTTTCTCCATTGTTTTAAATATTGGCAAAGACCAGAACTAAATGGGTAAAACAACATATTCAGTTCAACCAAAAAAAAAAAAAACAACAACAACAACAACAACAAAAACCCCACACTCTATGTTAGTTCTGTTGCCTGACATGAAGAGTTAATATTTAATAGAGTAAAAAAAAAAGTCAAACCATCAGAAACTTCTCTACAAAAATTTAAGGAACAAAAGCACGGGCTACACAGTAACAAAGTCCAGGCTCAAATCCTGGGTCCAGCAATTACTAGCTGTTTGATTTTATCAGGGAAGTCTTTTCTAGTTTGGGTTTTGTTTTCTTTTCTTTTCTTGTTTGTTGTTGTTGTTTTGTTTTCTTTAAATCCACGTTCCTCCAGATTGCAATGCTGCTAAGAATTTTTATCCATTGGCTAATTTACCTACTGTGGCAACCTCAACGGAATCATTGGTACACTGTCCCAAGAATAAAGAGAAACTAAGTGCTACACGGAATACTTGAACCCAGGTCTTGTCATTAAAGCGACACAGTGCTGCGACTCCGGGCTGCACCAGTGAGCGGGTGGATTCTCACTGCTGTGCTTGCTATTGAGCTAGAGATGTTGGCTCTGACTAGGCAACACGTGTGACTAATAAACTCACACATTTGCTTTCCTTTGTGTCTATAAATAATTTGACACGAGCAACCGAAATTGATTTTTTTTTTTAGGTCTATGCGACATTGCCGTATTATTTATTACTGGAACAAAAATAATACCATGAGCTTAGAAAGCCCTTCCTGCTGGACATTAATAAGTCCTGGAACATGGGAAGGGTAACTGGCTAGGCCCTGAGAGCATGAACATCTATTGCTCCTTCAAAGTTGGAGTCCTCTGATTGTTCCCCTAGGAGTCTGTGCTGATGTGACAAGACACTCCCTACAGTGCTCAGACTCACGGGCCGAATTTTCGTGTGGCTTTGGCTTTGAATTCCCAACCACAAGATGAGCAGACTAGATTAGCTCTTTAATAGTTCCGCTAAAATTTGGATTCCATTATTTATAATAAACAAGAAGGAAATAACAGTAACAGCTCAGACAAATCCTAATGGCCTCGAGAATTTGGCTGAAGACCTCAGGAGTAGGTCTCCCTGGGCAACACTCAAATAGTAGGATGGCCGTAGCCTACGTTACCCACTCATTTTTTCCTGGCCTATCTATGCTACATTAGTAAGACTGAAACCTCCCTTAAGATTTAACCCCACAAATTTTAATAAATATATGACTTGGTAGCTCTTTGGGGAAATAATTGTTTGCATAGCCTCTTAGTCAATGTTTTGCAATCCTTAAATCTAACAAAACCTGTAAAACAGAGGAGATAGATTTGAAAGTTTTGTACAAGGAAAGCATTCCTGGAATTGTAACAAAAGGAGGAAAGTCAGTCTCATTTTATTCATCATGTGTAACACATAAATGTTTTACTTGGGCCTACACCCCAGGTCCTCATCTCCCCTTCCCCCAAGCCTGCAAAAATGCACTTGCATACTTGACAGTGTGCTTCTGAAATTCCTGGATCCCTCTAAAGAACTGAAGGGCTGACAGAAAAGGCATTCCAGAGATCTGGTGGTCTCGACTAGGACCAAGAGCATTATTTATGCCATGACAGTTTTGTGATGTTTGGACAAAAATCCAGCGAAGTTCTTCTCAATAAGATTTCAACATCATAAAAGGAAATTTAATCTACTGGCATTTATAAAGCACACTCCTTTAGTAGATACCAGTATTCAATGTTTAACTTGCTTCTCTGGTTAACCAAAGTGCAGGTAATACTGAAGTTATTTTAAACACTTCACTCAACTTCTTGAGGCTTTTCTCTGTCTTCTATTCAAACTGCCATGTTTGTCCACTGGCAATTTTTAAAGAGCAGAAAGAATCATGTATATGTACAGAGATCCTGAAAGAGATTTTCAACATTTTTCAATTCAGAGTACTTAGTTTTCTCTCGATAGTTCTTGAGCTCTGTCAATACATTACTCTAAGCTTTTGGATTCTGTTCTTCTAGTTCAAAAACGAAAAACCAAGTAACAACTGTTCCACAAGCTCCTAGTAGGCGAACTCAGACAGAACTCACTTTTGTATTTAGACCTCGGGAGAAGTTGCCCAGCTTCTCTCTCCCAACAGGTCCTGCTCTCTGGAGGATTTCTTGGCCCTTTGAGTTTTGACAATTTAAGTATCTTTTAAAAATTATGCCAAAGCTGAAAGATTGTTGAAGTTAACAATCCAATAAAATTTGGATTCCCTTTCTTCCTGGAAAAAAAGGAAGGCATGCTTGCTTTGCTGAAACTGGGTAGACCTGCCCTTCTTAGGGATGGCTATCAGTTCCTAAGAAACCCAGGGTTAACAAAGACCCTCTTCTTAATTGTTGAAAACAATTATTTCATCTTAATTTGATTTACATTTTCAAAACATTAGAAAACAAATAATTTAGAACATTGAATTTTCCCCAAACCACAACAGAGCATATTATTTTATTCTTTCCCAGCTTATATTCAAATGCATATGTTTCTATCACTTAATATTTAAAATAAATGTAAATTTAATTTTTCATTTTCTTCAACAAAGGACAATATATTTTCCAATCTAAGGCATGTCTATTGAAGTTCTAAATTTTATTTAACAAGCTCCTTTGCTTTAGGACATTTATGTTGCTTTAAAGTTTCACTTATAAACAATATTTCAAGGAATTGCCTTAAACATACAGCTTCTTTTATATTAGTTACTCATGACAAATTC